GCTTACAAGAAACGTAATTCAGTCTATACACACTTTCTTTTGCTCTGTGAGTTTGTTGATTTTGAACAAAAGCTTCAATAAAAATGAGCATTTTTGGCTAATAAGGTATTTTCAGCTCTGTCATTGTGTCTTTCTGGGCCTTTTGAGAAGCTCTGTTTTCACCCCTGAATATGGTGGATATGTTCACTATATTATTTGAAAATAGAACAAACATCTGTGAGCCTGCACCACTTGAATTTGATATAAACAAAGCTGATACTGGGACGGAAGATCCACTGACTTCTGTTTATAGCAGTGGGCAGGTAACGTACCACAATAAAAGTAGTGGGTACCTGCTGTGTCTAAAGAGGCTGTATGGAGTTATATGGAGCAGCAGCAGGCGCTGATAGTAGCAGACGGTTCACAAAGATCCAAGACTGCAGTGACTCCTCAGTCCCTCTTGCTCTTTACTGATTAGTCTCTTTGTGCAACAGTTCAGGGCAAACAAAACAGATCTGTCTCTCAGAACAATCTGGCCAATTATGGGAAAGAAATGTTAGTGGGGGTGGGAGGTGGGGGCTGCTACTCACCCTCATTCCACTTCTCCTCACCTCCCCTTTTCTTCCCAGACTGGTGCATAAAAGAAAGACTTTTTTTATATCAGGTAAAAGTTAAAAAGCTTGGCTTTGCCCCATAAATACCTGGCTCAAACTGAACAGTGATCAGATAAAAGAACAGGTCAAGACTAGCTTATGGTTAGAAGTACTGTTAAGATCATTATTGCACAATTAATTGTACGTGCCCATTTAACACCACATTGCTTGAGGCAGACAATCAATGTAGGACATTTCCCAGCTCCACTGATTCCACTCACTATTTATTTATTTATTTATGGTTGACTCGAAGGTTAACAAATGGCTTAAAGTTAATTTGGGAAGCATTAGCACATGCAAGTAGGTAAGAGGCCCAACAAGGGTGGACCAGCCCTGTAGCCACTGTAGCAAGCCTAGGCTCAGCCTAGTTTAAGCTGCGGACCAGACGGGTCAGTGTTGACAGGTCACTAATTGTCTGCCCTCCAGTTCTATCGAAAGGCAAATGTAGAACAAAGCCTATGCAGTCAAATGTTATTGGGTGTCATGACACAGATGGCCATTACTGTGGCTTAGAAATAGCTTTAGGCTGTGTCATTGCTAATCTATGAGGATGCACAAGCTGTTTGTCCTGGAGCAGCAGCATCCGCAGGAGTTCATTTAGTTAGGAGTTCTGTGATAGTGGATGGGCTGTTTGCATCAATGCATGTATTTATGATTGATTGATTCTATGTGGTTTACTAGCTCTAGCTTAGTGGTTTATTTGCTTTGTTAGTGGTTTTATTTTTTCATAGATGCTGTTGGGTTTTCTCAGTTTGTTTGGTTGTCTGTTAGTCTGTGTGGCTGCTGGTTTGGTTTGTTTGTAGCTGTGTGTGGTTTATACGTGTATGCGACTGTGTTGAGTCTGTATCTGTATTTGGGGGTATTCTGCTGGTTGAGGCGGGGTCATGTTTACAGAGCGGGTCCCAGCAGAGCCCAGATCTCTGACCCTCACATTCCAGAACCACCACAAATTGCCTCCGTCTGCTGTTCTTCATAGAGAAACTCTTGCTGCATCTCTCTTGGCTCCATCTTTCCAGTTTTCTCTCACCCCAGTATTACTGCCCTCACCCCATTTGTCAGTTTTCTAGCCTTCTGATCATTCATTTTAGCTTAGAAGATTAGCATTTTGAGCTTAAGCACATACTGTAGATGAATAACTACCACCATGACCTTTTGTCTTTGCACTCTGCTTTTAATCACTTTCTCCAAGTCTTTATTTCTTTTTTAAATTTCTTGATTTTGGCTGTTGTTGTTCTCCTCTCACAGTGAGCTCATTCTGGGCTGTGGTCATAGATGTGTAAATTAGAACCAGAAGAGTTTCTCAGAATGAGGCACATAGCCCCTAAGCTCTCGTTCCTCCTCTTCTCCTTATTTCCTCCTTCTCTTCTTCCCCCCTTCTTTCTTTCTGCCCCTTTTGTCTCGGCCATGTGAGCCGACCGACTCCTTTTGGGTCCCTTTGCAGGCCTTCTTGGCCTGGCTCTCTTTTCAGCATGCCTTTGCCAGGTGCAGAGCTTTGCTCACAGCTGCCTGACAAATGTCTTTGGAGTGTTTTTGTGTCTTGTTGTGAAAACTGTTTTAGAGAATAGAGGTTGGTTGTGACATAGGGCCTTGCAAGTTGTATAGAAATGGACAGACATTTTTGGTTTCTAGCACTGCCGCTCTGTGCTATTTTTATTCTACGGCACTGAGAATTTGTGACCCAGCTCAGGTTGACGTAGAGTTAGTGAATTATTTTTGAGAAGCTTTGTGAACAGATAAGCAAAAATGGTAAAATATTGCTAGCCATCACTTTTGGCAGGTCATAAATACACTGCGGTCTGGTTCACCCCCATATGTAATTATTCCATGTGTATCTGGGACTTAATGGAGAATCTGTCCATTACCTCTTAATGCAACAAAATACTGGTTATTGAAAGAGAACTTGCCATTTTGTGAAGGCTGATGAAAACACCCATTAATAGGATGTTGTTAATGGGTAGTGTGAAAAGCAAGAGATTTGCTATAAAAGTAATTTATTTTATGTACACTATATACATTTAACAGTTTGTTTATGACAGAACAAATATCAAATGTTGTACATTGTTACAATATTTGAGCAAATACAATGCAAAATATGATTTAACACACTTCAGCCCGCAAAGCACAGCCAGACCTTCATTGTAAGGTGCATTGTCCACTTTTGGGGATAAAAGACACTTTGGAATAAGCTTTATTTCTCATAAGAAAAGAGTACCACCTGTGATTATACAGTCAATACATTTCCTGGCGTCTTGTCCAGGCAGTATGTCGTGACCGCTGACTGTGTTTTAGATGATTTTTTTCAGTTAAACATGTTTAAAATGGAGTGCAGTGCATTATTACCAAAAGAGGATAATGTGCATCCACTTAATTGGTACCAGGGCATATCTCTGTGCAGTTCTCCACCAAGGTATGATACACACAGATAAGGGAATTATGATTAGGAGATTAAGAGAGATGTGTGGCAGCAGAAAGGAACCAGGAAACCTTTTTTTCTGTAACATTCTTATACTGTAAATATGGTGCACCATATGTCACATCCAACACCACTTAACTAACTGGGGTGGCAACACAAAATCCAACATTACAGGTTTCACACACTATAATATTTGATGGCATATTTCAGGTGGATTTCACTGGGCTGCATGCATGTAATGAACACACAGTAATGACATTTGTTATAAAGGCAAGAATCCTGAGTAAATAATGAATGATGCAGTATTATTAATTATATGTTCTTACAAATCAGTGTGTGTGGCAGTTCAGGTTAATGTTAGAGTAAGTCTCCTGGAAATGAATGTAAGTCTATGTAGGAACCCGGTGAGTGACAAAAACAAGGATTTGTGTGTGTGTGTGTGTGTGTGTGATGAGACGACTGTATACGTGGCAACTGAATGAGATAAGGGAGAGATCGGGGTCAGATGAGAGGTGCTTCCTATCTTTTTTGCTCTCATTGTTGGCATCACAGCCTCTGCTATCTGCCTGCAACGTGTTTCCCTCCCTCACTTCCTTACTCGGTCCCTATTTAATGTGTAAGTGGGCTGGCTTTTATCTGTGTTTTGTCTTTCTCTTAGGGCTTTGACTTTGACAGTAGAGGTCATTAACACACACTTCTGACTACAGTAGAATGTTAGTATTCCAGTCTGGCTGTGTTTCAGCTACAGTCTTCAGCCATGTGTTTTCTGGGCTGACAGCCTCGAATTTATAGATTGTTATTTGGCTTTATCGGTCAGTGAGGCTGAATGAGCGGTATGCATGTTTTTAGTGAGTGTAACGGCAGTAAGCACACAGAATTATAGCTGAAATAGAAACAAGGTCAGTGTGGACATAGTTTATCTAGATAAGGTGTTTGTGTCCTGCCCTTTGTTGGACAAAATTGTTGAATTATTATTCTTAAAGACATGTTTGCATGCCGTTGTTTGTGTGTCCTACGTTTTGGTCTGATTTTGATTGTATATCATGCGCACTACTTAGTCACGTAGTCTGAGATATTTCCTGGCAGGAGCAGTGTTTTGGCCTGGGTGCTTTCCAACTAACCAGCAGGACTGGGATGACAGGGAGAGGCACAGAGGTTAATGATTAGTCCCATGGTCTCACTGCATTCCATTGGGTGACAAGGGAACATGGGATAAGGGACAGAGAAATGCAGCAGGCTTAGCAGGCCTTTACAATACTACTGGATATTAGTATGGAATACAAGCTGCGTAACTCTGGCCTTTCTGGGGGGGAAACAAACACCACCTCCATTTTTGTAATCATTAAATTGTTACACAGCTTTGATCCAGTAAACCCTCTGTAAGGTTTGTTTGCTAAAGTGAGCCAGACCGTGACTCCTTCACTTGATATTGAGTTCTTATAATTAGTGACCAGCCAGGAAATGCTATGAAATTATATGTGAGGTCAGTGCTTCACACTGGAGCCAAACATCACGGTTAAACAATACCTTGCTCTTCTTTCACTGGGTTTATTGTCTGCTTTTGGCACACTGAAATGTTCTGTGTAACATGCTCTCTAATATCTTTTTCCTCCTTCCTCATCCCAATTCTTCACTGTCAGGCCTTCTTCCCAGTTTGTCTTTCTGTGTCTGTCATCTCCCCTTCTCCCTGCTCCTCTGGTGGAAGCAGCAGCTATGTGTGGAATGTTTAATTCCCCTGGAATCTGGAAATCCTGTCACCTATTCATGTTGCATCTCATGACATGCTCCTTGAGGCAAGGGCCCTATTTATATTAGCTCATGCCAACTATTTCCCTTTCTTGCTGTCTGTGTCTCTCTTTCTCTTTCTGTGATGCTTTTTTGCAAACACACACTGAGAAACGTTCATCAAGCCATCTTCTTTTTTTTTGTCTGTCCCCTCTCCTACATATCATCAGCCTCAATTCCGTTCTTTGCGTGTGAGCTGAAGGCAGTGACTCCGTACAGGCGAGGCTTCTTCTGTGGAGACTCCAGCATCACCTACCCCTATGTGGAGAGAGAGGCCATCCCTGATGACCTGCTCATTGCTGGTGGTATAGCCATTACTGGCCTAGCGGTAAGACAGTAATACCTGTTAAGTGTTAAAGTTGTCATCACTGTGAACCAAACACACCTTTACAGGTGTGATATTTGTCCAGCCGGGCAGTATGAGGTATGTTAACCAGTTTCTTGTGCCTTATTTTCTTTTCAGATTGCACTGGGTGAGTGCTACCGAGTGCGTTTTCGAGTTGTACACTCGCGGGCTTTTGTTCGAAACCGCTATGTGTCGTGCCTGTACAAGGAACTGGGAAGCTTCCTGTTCGGCTGCTGTGTGGGTCAGTCTCTTACCAATATGGCCAAATTAAGCGTGGGACGCCTGCGACCTAACTTCCTGTCTGTCTGTAACATCACCTATGCATCAATCAACTGCGCTCTGGGCAGCTATGTGTCCCAGGTCCCCTGCAGGCAGCCTAATCGGAAGATGGAGGAGGAGGCAAGGTGTGTGGTGTGTGTGCATGAGAGGGTTGTTCAAAGTAATTTGTTCTGTTTGCTAAAGGTGAAGTATACCGTAAAAGTTAATGTTTAACCTCCTGCATGATTTATTGATCTCTTTCAGAAAGTCTTTTTTTTCTGGCCATGCTTCCTTCGCAATGTACACCATGCTCTATCTGGCAGTAAGTCACCTCTACCTTACAAACACAAACATACATGCACACACACACACAAACATAACTGGAGTGTGACCTTAATGCTCACCTAAACCTGTGTATCATTTCAGTATTTGGTACTGGGTTTACAGTGCTGGGGGAATATGAGCGCTCTCATATTCGTTCCAGTTATTAGAAACAATGCCAGTGCCTGGCGGCAAAGAACACTGCGTGCAACTCTATACTGGATAAGCTAATTAAACATGTGCAAACACACTCAAAGACATATGCTGTTAAAGATATTCACACTTTCTCATAATAAGGGAGGAGAACTTTGAGAACAGTAGTTCTTCAAAGGCATCCTGCTTCAAACTGAAAGAGCTGGTGAGATTGATGGGGATGGTGGTAGTTTGGTGTAGGGGGGGTGTTGAGGGTGGGCATGAATAGATGAAGAGACTACACAGACAGAGGCAGCCTTGTTGTGGGTCTCATTTAGAGGAGGGTTTGGAGGGCTGAATATGCCTGCTGAGAGATCGACAGGCTTCTTTCAGCAGTAGACACCCTCTAAACCCCCAAAACCGCCCCCGTCTCTTCATCTTCTTCCTTCTCTCACACTGCTCAGTAGTCATGGGTGCATTGCGGGAGAGCACCGACAGTTAGAGGGAGACAAAAGCACATTATTGTCCATATAACACTCACATTCCTCATGTATTTCCTCTCATTAACCCCTAAATTATCATTTTAGTGTGTAAAATGAATGACGTGAAGTGAAGATGGTGCTGTGGAAAATTCACCTCTCCTCAGTTTGCATTGGCACAGTAGAAGTCCAGATGAAAAGCAGCGTCTCACTGACAAGAAGAGACAGACAAGGATGAGTAGGGTGACACTGAACAAGATGAATCAAGGGTGTAGAACTGAAGTGAGGAGTGGTCTGAGAAAAACAAGGGCTGTTTGTTACCCCTGCGTTCTCTCCTCACCAAACCACTCTTCACTGTTTCTCCACACCACAGTCCATAACACACAGCCTTGCATGCCAAGTTTCTGCTAGCTAGTGTTTCCGCAGACCTGTAGCTACATGCCAAGAGGATCATGGCCAGCTGCATGTGTTTAGAGCAGGAAGAGTGACATCTGTTCTTATATAGGATAGGAGCAGGAGAGAAGGACCCACTGCTGGTTGGCCTTGTTGCAGGAATGTACACCATGTACTCCCCAGCAGTTGATGGGTCCAGACAGAACTCCAGCCACCTTATTGAGCGAGCCTTGTGTCTGCATCATGTTTACCCTGTGACCCTGTTTTTATAGACACAAACACCCAGCTGTACTGTAGTGCTGATGCAGGAGATGAGGAAGAACAAAAGAAGGAAATGGGGTTAGCTGGGAATAGCGTTAATGGACACATGCCAAGCTTCTTTTTCCCCTCTGGGTACTGGACTGAATAGATGTCAAGGTTTTGCTTAAAAGGCTCTGTCTGTGTTTATAGACACTTGAATCACACGTCACACAAGCATCTGCATGCATATGTTCACTTGTCTGTAGTGATCGTAAAGCCACTATCGATATAATAATATTTATATCCTTTTTTACAGTTCTACCTGCAGGCACGGTTGTCGTGGCGAGGAGCTCGGCTGTTGCGCCCACTAATACAGTTCCTCTTAGTGATGATCGCCATCTACACAGGCCTGAGCCGCATCTCTGACTACCGTCACCACCCCACAGATGTCCTCACAGGCTTCATACAAGGAGGACTCACTGCTTACTGGGTGGTATGTTGACAAATCACACTTTTCTAAGTCGTCTTGAACAACAGGTATCTCTGTGTTCACAGGATTTGCTTCTGTCTGCTCTCTGTTAACGGAGTTAGCATAAACTATCGGTTACCTCACTCTGACCACTGTTGGTGTTGGTAAACCATGAATGATTGACAGTGTGTGGTTTGTGTATATTTCCTGACATGATCTGTGTCTGTCCCTGCAGGCTTTCTACATCTCCTCCATGTTTAAACCCTGCGCCCGTCCAGACCTGTCTCCGCCTAGCATGTCTCTGGAAAGTCCACTGTCCAGCCAGCAAACAGTCTGTTAGCAGGCACATACAATCATTCCAGGAATCAGAAGATAAGGGAAGATGGACTACAGAAAGACAGGGAGAATGTTACAGGGCACAGAGAGAAGACAGAGAAATTTTAGTTTTTGAGCAAATGAATCATTCTAAGAGAAGAATATGTTATAAAGCAATGGAGTACAATCTAACACATGCTTGATCTTTTGAGTGAACTGATAAACATGACTTCACAAAGTAATCTAACACATCCACACATGTTAAATATAAGAAGCACATTTAACTGTGAGTCCGACCCGTCCCGTGAAAAGAACCGTCTAGTAATATGACAAATATTTTTTATATATGAGAAATAAATATATATATTTTTTATTTTTCAACAGGATTTTAGAAGCTGCTAATGTTCATAGTTGCTAGTTTGAACTTGTTTTCTTCTGTGATGGAGGCGTCTGGTCAGTGCATTTGGTTAGCTTTCGAATCAGAACCGGTCACTTTTTGGTCTCGTGTGAGAAGATGTCAGCCTCCTTGGAGAACATCCGCCAGCAGCTGTGAACTGAGGGTGTCAGGCCTCAGATGTGAAGACAACTCTGTGCAGAGTGACAGAACTGGCAGTGATAAGGATCAAGCACTGGCTTCAACCTCTAATGACTTTTACTTTTGGTGGCCAAATGTGCTACTGCCAGTCTGCCCCACATCACCACAGTATAACTAAACAATAACCCTGTTACGTACAGCAACTAAATAAACACAGTATTTGTGCTGTATTACAATATTATCTTTCTTTTTGAGTAACCAAGGCAGTGATGGGGAGGAATCTGACCCGGTAACTTCCCTTTTCACTGCCACTTTTCTGTACTAACTACTTTGACTGTGTCTCAGAGGTGGAGGTTTGACTGAATTTTGTGACCTTTGGCCTATGCCCCCGGACCCCAGTCTCTGAGCTGCACCTTGATTTATGCCACTCTGACAGGAGAGCCAATGTGGCTGCGACCCCAGCGGCCCTCCTGTACATCCTTATTAATAGCACTTGAACGTACTTAATGGAACCTTCTAGATATAATCAATATTATATCACAAATTTGAATAATCAGTGTTTATTTTTGTCAATGTCAAACTCATACACTATGTTTGTTTTTTGTTTGTTTGTTTGTTTGTTTTTTGAAATGGTAATTATTCAAATTGAATGTAAATAGATGTGTCATTTTATAAATCACAGAGAATTTCAAAAGTATTAGTTCCAGTTTTGGACATTTTCTACATGTTTATGTTAAGTGTTGTTATTGACATTTGTGTTGATGAGGTACTGAGACTTATTATTGTATCTGTCATAACTACTAGACTGAGCCACAGATATTATCAGAAAGCTATATTTTTTGTGTTCCCAGTTATTGTTATTTGTTTGTTTTGTCTGTGAGTGCCTGAAAGGCAGAAATAACCACTATACTCAAAAAAACCAAACCAATAAAATGAATGTTGAATGTTTTTAACTTCTTCTGTTTTTATTTTTAGTGTCAGCAAATTGAAAAAGGAAGTTGCACAGTCTTAATCTCAGTGTCAAAGTATTTAGGTCATCTCTGGGTACTCATAAACAGAGTTGGTAAAGCCTTTTAGCCATTTGTAAGTCTGTCAGCACACAGTAGAGTCATTAATTATTTACAAACGGGATTAGACTCTGTGAGGAGGTCGGGAAGTCTGTGCTGAAACAATAAGTAAACGCCAAAATATTAAGCGAGTTAACCTCTTGTGTTTGGACGCCTCCACCACAGTGCTCTCCCAGTTTCTTTTATTACTCTCTCTCCCCTTCACACTCGCCCTCACTCTGCCCCTTCCCTCCTCTCAGTCCTTTTCAAGTGCAGTGGAGCATGATGGGCCGTTTCAGAGGGTCACGCTACCATGGAGATGCCTAGTCAGATACAGGTTGAGGCATTTTCTTTTGCTTCTTTTTTCTCTCTCCATTCCACTTCTGTACTGAGGGAGGAGATTAAAAAAAGCAGCCGAGATCAGACAGACGGCAAAAGAGAGAGAGAAAGAGTGAGAGAACTTCAGTAATGAGTGTGTGCATTATGCTGAAGCAAGGGGGACAGACGAGTAGGAAAAGTGCTTCTATAATCAAGAGGAGGACTAATGAAGCAGTTGGCAGAACAGATGGGGCGGTAGATTGGGGAAAGTGAGGGTGATGGGTGTGGGGCACCAGGGCTGGAAGGAATGTTGATCGTGGTTCGCAGGCCTGTTTTGTTTCATAATACTGTAACTAAGGAGACATATTTCATTTCAGAACAACGTATATGTCTATGCTTGTGTGACAGGTTCTTTTCTGTGTTTGCCTCACAGTTTATTGTTTTATGTTTAGGTGTGTGACTGAGCTGAGTGAGAGGTAGACTGCTCCACCGGGCTGAGCTTACACACCCTATCAAACATGACATCTTGTTTACACTGTGGCTGTCATCCCCATCACTAACCCTTTGACTCTAATGGAAATGAATGAGGGTCGACGAGCAGTGGCAGATTCTGTATGTTCAGATCACCAAGGTCCAGGCGCAAGGGCCCTACTATTTACACTGCTGTGACTGTGCACACAGTGGGAGCCATAGCCTGGCACTGTGGTCATTTGGAGCAGGGGGTATTTGAACTCTTATCTCAACAGGTGAAAGAAAATTAAAGCCACCTTGTCCCTCTTTCTTATACTTAACACTAGAGCAATTCTTTGATAAGATTATAAATTTAGCAAAATTGTGCACATGCACAAGCAGAAGGGTGATTGCTGATCCACACCAGCAGACAGATAAACATAGGCAGAAGGCATTTAGTCACCCACATATCTCTACATGTCTGCGGAATGGACTCTTTTATCGTACATGTGTTTTTTTGTCTGACATTGATAACGTCATCGAACGTTTGTATCCCTGACAAATTCCATCCACAAAACTCTGCCTCTGTTTGAAGTTGTGAAATAATCTGTTTTGGTGGGAGGTAAAATGTACCACTTATCACTTCTTGTGTAAAATTTAATCTTAGTTTACTGTCAAGTTAAAGCTGCTTAAAGCTGTAGGTTGATTCAACTGTGAAGAAGAAAAGAAATGTCCATGCATGTGAGTTTTTGTTAAGAGGCATTACATACGTATTCTCTGAAACTGGTTCTGGCCTCTCATCCAGCTGTAGTCCAGTTCTTAAAAGTATTAAATTGGATTAATGGACTCTTTAGTATGCTCAAGTTCAGGCCTGTTCCTCTAACCTCACTGCTATGCATATTTCTAAATCGTCCGTGACTGTATGTGAATATAATAACTGCAGCCATTAGGACTGCAAGTGGTCATATTGTGTCTTAATATGAGTCTGTGATATGCATTAGTTTGCATTTTCCTAGTTAGATAAATCTTTTTGCTTCTTTATTCTCTTTCAGCTCTTCAGGGAAGGATGTGCCCAGTGTATTGTCAGCACAGAGATCACTAACTGTCAGAGAGCCACTGCTGCATAAGGTCAGAGTCACTGTCAAATGTGGAAAACTTGCTGTGTGTTTTATAGGTGTGTGATGTTTATCCATCTACTCACATACTCAGCAGTAAATAAATACCTAATTTAGCACGTGTACAAAAACACGCTTTGTGGTGTCAGTGTCATTTTGCTATCTGATGAGCATGGTATCACTGTTATGTAGTGCACCATACAGTACTGGTCAGCTGAGGCTGAGTGTGAAGCATTTTTAAAGATTATATGTACTGTTGATGTGTTTTAAATGGAGACAAAATAAAACCTCACACGAGTCAGTTACTGTAGGAACATGTGTATAAGAGTGACATACTGTAATACACCTCTCTGAAAGAGTAACTCTCAGAGATGTCTCTGGTACAAGATTTACATCAATTTGTATGAAAGGGATACATGTTACTAAGACCCTAGTGTCCTGTCAGCCTTTTAAAAGACTAGATAAATACCTGATAGCTTATCTGATAACATTTCCTTGGGGGACAAATGTTCTAAGAACTCCTCTCTGTAGTTCACAGTAGTAGAGCCAATCATGACAAATAGTCAGTGAGCTAGAAAACACATCCACAAGACACTGTTGACCACCTTACAGGTCATATCGTCATCTTTGCAAGGGTAAATGGTTAGCTGAACAAACATGGCACCATAATATGTGGTGTGTTTACTTTAGTGTCAAGCTGAATGTTTTAGGGTAGGGTGACCTTAGCTACCTGAGGCTTCTCTTTGCTGATGACCTTAAACAGGGCGATCTCAGCCAATACTCGCTTTTCCTTTGACACTCTGTAACCTGTAAAACACAGCAGAAGTAAACACATTTAAACAACCCTTCAAGGCACAAGGATAAAGTGACGGGTAAAGATTTGACTTGAGTTAGAGTTTGACATAACATTCTTCAGTAAAACAAGTTTATCTACCAGGGAGCTAGACAAGACAGGCTGTCGACAAAGATAACCAAATCACTTTGTTTATATTGTACAGCCTGAAGAATGAGACATATTGTGTGTGTGTGTGTGTGTGTGTGTGTGTACATGGGTTCATGCTCCTGTTGATCCTTTAACTCGCAGGCTTCTGAGGGCAGACTGGAATGCAAAAACAAGATCATAGCAATGAGTATAAATGTGTGTGTAAGACGAGTTGTGTGCAGCAGTGTGTGAGACACCATCATGCAGTGTCTGTCAGTGTGCAAATGATGCTACCAGAGCAGCGGTGCTCTTAATTACAGTCCTCACCAGGAACCAGCTGGGATAACAACAAAAAAAATAGTGAGGTGCTGAAGTCAAACAGCACTACAGTGAAACAAATGTGCTGAAGCCCAGGAAAGCGGTGCAGTGCAGGCCTGTAAGTATGTATGATTTATGCATTTATGAATCAGGTGAACTAGTGAGTAATTTGTGTCTAGCCTAAGCTTATCCACTGGCTCCCAGGGAGAGTTAAAAGGCGATAACTACCATGCGGTTAGTAGCACATATTATCTTTAATAATAGTAATAAGTAGTTGTTTTTGCTTGCCCATTTTTCTTTTATTATTGTATTTTAGTAGCCTATATGTGTTAAAATGAATCCTGATGAACCTTTACCTGGTGCTATTGGGCAACAGGTAGACTTTTACAGTGGACTGTTGGTGTAACTGTTGAACAGTGACAGTTACAGCTGCTGGCATTAGCATTAACCTTGTGAAGTGAGTTATGGGTGCCCCTGTCCTGTAATTGTGTTTCTTCTTCTGCTGACAGATTATGACGGCAGTGGAAAAGTTGTTGAAGGAAACCTCCTGTTGGAAGATGAAGGATGGTGGCAGTGACAGAGAGACAATCCCAGGCAAGAAATCACAAAGTTATCTACCTGTCTAGCCACCGAACATCCGCCTTAGGCTAGAACCTGCACACACACACACAAAAAGAACGAGTTTGAGAAGGCATGCAACTGAACTATTTCACTTGCATAAAGTGCAAATCAGCTTTTCCTGAATGATTTCAAAAATGAATGCCATCATGGTGATACTGGGAATCATTTGAGGGGCCAACCTGACGTGACAGAAAACAAAGCCGGAGATGAAATGTGGCACATGACACAGTGGGCCTTTTTTGGAGCATGTTGACGTGTCATAGCAGGAAAATCCCATCTGGAATGAACAACTTTAATGACACCTCCTGTTAAATTGGGTGCCCCCTGAAAGCACCAGAGCCACGGACCTAGCCGCTGTTATGTTACTAATGTCAATGATTTTCATGCTATTACATGTAAAAATGTCTGCTGTGAAAATGGACCGCTGGCACATTTTTTCAATGCTTTAATAAAAGTTTTTAAGTGTAATAAAATGTACATTTCTTGTAGTGTGCTGCTGTTTTCTCCTTTGTTCAGATTTTCAAGTGAGCGCCTGATAGCTTCACTGATCCGCAGCACAACCCAACACAAGGCTTTGTTTATTTAACAATAGGGTTCAGTCAAGTGTGAACAGCTATAGAAGGGCTGCCTTAACAAAACATGACAGTGATAGACATACAGACCTAACTGACAATTTACAGTGCTGCATCGACTCCCCACTCAAAGTCCCTGTCCCCTAAAACTCCTGTCATGTCACTCATGGCTTTAGGTGAGAGACAGCCATGGATGTGAATGGCAGGAAGCAGCACATGGCTCCTAAACAAAATTAACCTAATGGGTAATGTGATTTGAATTTCTTACATACTTTCTCATGAGTTCGCTTAGTGTGCAGTGCATGCCAGTGCTTGTACATGTACTTGTTTGTGTGTCAGAAAAAATGGTGGTGTGTGTAAGCTGAGCTGTATTGTACAGTATGCGTGTGTGTACGTGCTGCATGTACGTATATTTACGTGTGAGGCCACATAAATAAAACAGGGCACAGCAAAAAAACCCTATTGTTTCTGAGGAATTATCCTTCACAATACAGGACTTTATCAGAGGCCCTGGAGTGCTGTAACAAGAGACACTCACCCTGGGTTCGCCCCACCAAATACTGAGAGTTACGCCAGCAGCGAATCACAAGGGGGAAGGAAATAAAAAGACTAAAGAAAAGAAACAGAGGGGAAAAATGATGGCGAAGGAGAGTGAGGAGCAAAGAGGGGAAGAAAGAGATGACAGAGGATACAAATGGGGATCAAGTGGGAAAGTGGCAGAGAAAAGAAGGTAAGGAGGAGACTGAAATACACAGAGAAAGGCAGAAGTTGAACAAGTTTAACTGGAGGCCATGCTTCAAACAGAGAGGTTTGTTTTCTGACAGAAATCCCTCTCACGAGATTGTGCTGGAAAACAGATTAATAGAGCCTGTCCAAGTTTCTCTGCGATATTGCGTAACATGGGCCTCAGCAGCACATGAACAAAAACTGCTGTGCATCACATCGTATGCTGCTTTGACATGGCTGTCTCTGTGTTATAATCTAATGTGCACAACACAGCCTCACCAACCTTTTAAAAGCTGATAGGCCCCTAGGCATGGACCGGTTTGTCAACAAACACCTTTCAGATCTTGCATGTTTGGCTCTGTGGAAGAGGGCAGGTTTTTTAATTTATTTTTTTTGGCTTCCTTTTATACAACTTTCTCAGCAGGATCAGGTTGCTGTACCCAGGGTAGCCATGCTCCACCAAGGGGAGCTGTGGTTTTTGAAGTGAAAGTGAGAGTTGACTGACTATAGAAGGGGCTGTATATGTGGAGAAGGTGTAGGTGTATTGTGTGAGACCCAGTGACATCATTTATTCATATGCTCCCATGACACCTCCACTCCCACTATTCTTCTAAAGCAGCTAATTTACTTTTATTAGCTGTTCATGTTTTTGCTATGTAAGTGCCATAATGTAACCACAATGACTGAATGTTTATAGATTACAGAGCGCACTGACATACCAGTACACTGTGGAGAAGGTGCGTGAAACACAGATTAATGTGATTACATATTTCTCTATATGTGAGTAAATATGTTGGGGTGAGTGTTAATGTGTTTCCTGTACTAGCAGTGTGTAGATTGTGGAATCCAGCTTGTGCCAGTGGGAGTTTCAGGCTTCATATTGATCCAACTGGACAGACCCAAGTGTCTGTAATGGTCCAGACACAGTTTGTGTTCTTTAAATGTACCTGTCCTTTGGTCTTGCACTTATAATGAGGGATTATGCTTATTACTATTTTACTTGAGAGCACCCCTCGTGACTTGGTGCTTTTTGTAGCCATGGTTCAATCACTTCATACGTTAAGAATAAAACTGGAAAATTGGCGAAATCTATAAAGTCAAAATTCTCACTCTCTGGGTGTGAATATGATACTGTTTTCTTAAGAGGAGTCACTCCTGGCCCGTATGTACTGTTTTGGTTGTGGTCGACTTTCCGCTGGGTGTATTTTGAAACCACTGTGGAGCTAAGCGGACGCAAGCCAAGTAGGGTACTGAGCAACCAGCACTATTGTTTCACAGCTACTCAGGATTCTCGGGCTGTCGCTTTGCCTCAGCTCTGACTTCAGGGCTCACACGCTGTGAATGGTTCACCCACTTTAGTTTTAAACTTGTGACAATAATAGTGAACTGTACAGATTTTATGGGGGTTCGTTTAGCCCTGTCCTTCTTGTGTTCATAAAAATTCTTCGGAATACTAGTGCCTTTCAAACTCTTTGAGTGCTACCCTCATTCATATGGAAAGAGAATGAGTGAGTGGGTGGCAGTGAGAGGTGACGAGAGCCAGAAGGACACAGAGCCAGAAGGACACAGCTGAGACAAATGGGAAAAGGACTCAGAATCATCAGAATTGTAATTATTTACCCTAAAAGTCTGTTTGTAATTTACATCTTCATTTAGACCACAGAAGTAGAGAGCTGTGGGAGCGTGGTCTGTGGGACATGCATGTTTTGGCTTTGTGTGTGTTTTCAGCCCGTTCTACGTCACTGCTGCTCTTCTCTGTTTATGCAGGGGCTCTGTGGATATGGAGAGAAATGGTAGACTATTAAATTCTCACACTGTCACCTGATATCTACGGAAAATGGATCAGATGATTGGACAAGTCCACTTCTGTATAACGTCCCCCAAGGCAGAGCTGGGCCAAGTCCATTTACTCTCTAATTCATGTTTGTTGTGATGCTGTCATCTTTATCCATTAAGAATCTAGCCAAGGAGTGATGAAGTGATCAACAATAATGCAAAGTTAACCTTGTTTATCAGACCAAATTGGCTAATGAGTAAATTTGTTTGGCTACAATGAGAGTGTATCCATCCCACATCTAAGCCAATGCAATAATTATGTTTAAGGTGGAAACCTGAGAGTGTGTTTTGGAAGCACATTTTTGCTCAACTACTGGTGGACTATGGAAGAGAAAGAGGGAAGGGCAAAGGAAAGCTGGAGAGGGATGGAGGAAGGGGAGTAGATAGAGGGGCCCATGCTGAGTGATACAGACTATGGTTTGTGTTTTCTCAGTGGACCAGAGAAGATGCAGTGTAAATGAAATCTGCTGCACCATGGCGGCCTCTGCTTTATCTTGTGTGTGGATGAGGACGGGATATGACAGAGGCCTTTGTTCTCTACTGGTTATCCGGTGTCAGCAGGGCTGCCATCCTACATCCATATCCCATCTCTACAGATAACAGGAGGATATATGCAACGCACATGTGAGCTTGAGTAAACACAAATGCATCCACCTGAGTGGTATTAACATCTTGTCACAATACAGAATTCACAACAGATTGCACAATGTGGTTATCAAATTGTTATTATTATTTTATAACAATATGTTGGATCCATAGCCAGTACTGTAAAGTGTGTAAGATGCATGCTTTATTGTGTTTATTTTAATTTAATCTACAGTGAAATAAACCCCACTGGCACAGGTCTGTTCAAAGTGTTTCTGACCTGTAGGACAAGGGCCTCCCCTGGTGTTTAATATACAAAAGTACACAAAGCATGACGTATTACAGAATTATACTGTAGCACGTACGCTCTCACTTCCTTTCCAACATTCTCAAGGAAACGTTAAGCACGTCTCTACTTTCCTTCAACAAAATGACCTTTAGTTTGTGTCTAATTACTTTGATAACCTCACTCTGTGTCCACAAAACACTAGGTAAGAGATTTCAGCTTTGATCATACATTTATGCATTTATGCATTTCGCTGCTGTTTTTTTGTATTTAGCTTTAGCTTTTGCTTCCGGTCATCCTGAGCTAACTGAAAGTTTTTGTTCAACTTGTTGTCTCACAGAATGTGTGCAGAAAAATATCTCCTGCAACAGCATTCGAATGACATCTCCTCAGGGCTTCGGCTTCTCACATCAGTGTTCTGGTGCAAATTACATTACTGTGACTAAAAATGTGGTATGCTGATTTACATTGAACCTCTGCTACAGTACAATGTTGTTGTTGTTTTAACAAAATAATGTTGAAAGATGCTTATAGATCATTTACTGTGTCTGAAAAGAAAATCAAGCAACAAAGAAGAGAAAGTTTCATACTGAGTTTCAAAATAACTCACATCTATGTTTTTGTTTATATGTTTATTTGTTCTTGCTGAGGTCAAAATAACCTTTTATTATTTCCTAACAGACCGTGATTGCTGTTTATTCTTCGAATCAGTCTACTAAACATTCATCTGAAGTGATAAGAATGGACAATCATTCAGTTGTTACGAGAGAGTGCGAAGCCCTAAAAGTAAAATGCACAATTCCAGATGTAAGTTCTTCTTTATTTTAATACCTACTTATATCAATTAAAAGCCACATTAACTCATTATATTGTAAACGTAAAATACAGTGCCCTCCATAATATTTGGCCAAAGACCCATCTTTTGTCCATTTGCTTCTGTACTCCACAATTTCAGATGTGTAACAAAAAGCATTACAAATGGCTAAAGTGCACATTCTCATATTTTATTTATACATTTTGGTTTTACCATGTTGTGGAGTATAGATGCAAATGGATTAATGATGGGTTTTTATATGTCCATAAACTGTATGTGCTCTATTCTCACAATATAGTAATTAAGTTTTTTCTTACAAGGGCTCCACTCCAAAAGACCTTTGTGTGGATTTTAAGATTATTGGTAAGTCAGTGTGATGTTATAAAGAACTGATTTACAGTACTCTTTTACATCTCTGATCATTTCATAATAATAAGAATTATCTGACATCTTTAAAACAGAGAAGACGAAGGATCCCAGTGATTTACCAACATCACATGGCATCATCAGTGAGTGGATGTTTATTCTATGGGGCATCTGGGAGTTATTGCTATGTGTCACAGCATTTTTGTTGTCAATATTGCTGTAAAACTTTATATGAATTTAATGATGATAACATGTTTGCATTTTTTCTGTTGTCCAGTTGGTATATCATGTGGTGTGTTACTGTTCGTTGGGATCCCTGGGATCATCATTGGGATACGTTACATGTGTTGGAAGTGAGTTATATTATGTTTGCAATAACAATCAACTGTGAATTTATTTACTTATACAGTGTCTTGCTTGGATTCAGAAATGATTGTCTGTTGCTGGTTTCTTGTGACAGGAAACAACACAGAGCAGCTACAGTTTCTGGGTTTCTAAGACACATGTGGCCTTGCTGTTTTCTCAGACAGGGGGTTTCCGAGGCTGAGACGGGGGAGAGAACAGAACTCAGGTCACTCTTACTTTTCATATGGACTCTGATCATTTAAGCCCACATAACTACCCTTCTGTTATTAACTTACACTTTGTTAAATCCTCTTCAGTGCATGTGCATATTAACAGGTCATATACTGAACCACTGAATTATTAAAAGATGAAAATTCTGGCAGTTTATAGATCAAAACTCATTTTAACTGGACATTTTCAGAAATGCTGAATGTAAGTTTGTTTATATGCTATTACGTCTCCACCAACGATATCACACTCAGAAGCTATTTAAGGTCAAATCAGTGAAGCTAAATGTGTCCTCTGCTGTTCTCTGAAGAATTAAAATTGTCTGTTTATTCTTTGTTATTACAGCCTGGATGAAATGTCCCCTGCCACTGATCCACATCCAGGTGCTGAAAATGAACAAGATGACATCCTGGAAACTGTGCATGTTCCCAGGTTAGGCAGCCACTTTAACAATAAAGCACCTTTATTCACACTGACCTCTTGTTAGCCTTTTTGTCAAAAAACATCAAATAGCATTGGACGTCTAGACTCTAATCTGGTAAGAGCTACGTTTGTCTCCATAGTATTGATCCTAAGGCTGACAGCAAGACTCCTCAGACCAATAGTCTGGGCTGCAACTTGGCCAGTGAGGGAATCCAGCCAACTGAAAAGTGAGCATGCTCATTGTTTACTTGCATCTCTAGTCTGTTTTCCTTTGAAGATTTAGGTGAAGTTTCCCTTTAAGCGGGTAGACAGTGAATGAGATTTCTCAGAAGATTTCTTGTTTGCTTTGCAGTGGAGACACGAGTGCCCTTGATGTCTGCACAGCCTTTGATTATCTGGACATAAAGAGGCAAGATTTTGGTACTGGGTGGATTGTCATTATGTTTAGTATCAATTCTTATTGCTGTATACTCTATATTTCTGTTTCAGGTACTTGACAGATGATCCAGGAGGAATAACATACAACAAGGCAGGAGACACTGTGAAAGGTGTTGTGAGGTAAGTCTAACCAGTTATAAAGTTATAGCAGATGTTATACTATAATAAAATTGAAGAAATTGTCAAGCTTGACATTTTTACATTGAATACATGGTCTGTTTTAAATGTTAGAGCAAATGAAGTGAGAATATTTCTTTTTGAGAATGTGTACATTCATGTTTTCTCTGCCTGCCTCAACTCCATGAGGTTAATCACTTATTAGGGGTTGCAGCAGTATGTCATACTTATTACACACTGGTACCGCATCAAATGTAATTATTTTACAGCCACCACGAGCTTATGTTAGCTTCTGTCTGCTTCCTAAATACTGGAGTTAAAGTGTAAACAAAAACCAAACTGTCAGTCAGAGGACTATACATACTATACTTTGTTTTGATCAAATCAAATGTCATTATAAATCTGTCACAGTTGCAAGACCGAAAACCAAAAACCAAAAAAGAAAATAACCGATAATGACTGTGGATTCTTCTCCAGCAGCAGGGACATGTACAGTGGACGTACATGGACGTACCGTGACCGTGGCTCTGAACATCCTGAGACTAAATCCCCGCTGCTGATGAATCAGCCGTGAGATACCTGTTGCTCTCACTCAGCATTCATAACTGTCCCCAAAGAAAACGTTGCTGTTGCTTTTCAATTTCCTGTCTCCTCTAAACCTCTCTAAACATCTGGGCTCTTGCTGATGTTTGTCAGGAGTAATTTTATGAACTTTTCCCCAGCTCCATCACAAATCCTAAGGTCCGATCCAAACTTCAGTCTGACCAGACTTTCCTTGTTGTTTCTGTCTCCAGAGCTCCCATCCAAGATTCTGACGTGACAGATGAAGCCGTAGCTTTGGTGAACAAGGACGGTTTTGACCATGCCAGCAGGTGCTTTATTATACCTGTAAGTCTGGAGCTTCCTGTAGATGCTTGGTTTTATTTATTTCAGTTAAAATGTGCTTTCTACGCTGTTGTTGTTGGATTTGGCAAATAGCTTTTTGCTTGTTTTGTTTTCTGTAGGACACTGACGTGGAGTCAACACCCAATATGAAGAACGGTGGATTACATAAATATAAATAGTATATAAAATAGTAATAATAATAATAATAATAATGTTTCATATATTATATATATACAACATAAAGTTCTCACTGTCAGGGTATGCGGGTACATTTACTGACTGCTCCTTTGGAACCAAACATAGCATCATTGTTTATCATCATTGTGTGCAGGAATTCACAGTATATCAGTGGGAAAGATGGATCAAATCAAATTTATTTAATTAGATTTAAATGAACATTAGTTATTAGCTTTGCCAGATAATTGCATCATCTTACAGAAATAGAAAGTATTGGTTGCTCTAAATTGAAAACTGGTTTATTATCATCATTTTTATTAATGACATCACTGAGACTATTAAATGCTCGGCTGAACCAAAGGATGGGTGGACCAAAAACATGGCAGAAAATGGACCGCATACATGGCTGTGAGACAAATTAACTTTATTGTAACAGACAGGGTACAATCTATATTATTAATAAATCTATATAAATAAAACAGATATATATCATGTAAAGTATTATATATACTATTCTACCTGACTAAAATGAATTGTTTTAATGAAATGAAGCATAATAGAAAACATTTTTTCATGTAATTTGCTTATCGCTGCATAATCCAGCAACATGATCATTCTTATAATGTGAATCATTTTACTTTTTTGTCTGCATTTATGATTTCAAGGCTATTTCTGTGATTTTTTTTTTTTTTGCTAATGTATTCACTTGCATTGCAATTGCTTTTGAACCGATCCGTTCATATATAGTAGTAATAATAGATATATATATTTAAAAATGTTTTGAAATATATTGTTTACTGCACCCTGGATTTTACTGCCTGGTCATTTCTACTTTGGTTTCCAAACTATCTAAACAACAACGCAGCACCAGTATCAGCTTTATACCACAAAGAGGCAGTCATGAGTGCTACAAGCCTGAGGAACAAAGGCAACATAACCACACCTTTTATCACATTTGTTGAGAAATGCAAATGTTATTGATGGATATTCTAAATTTTAATAGCTTCATTATTCCTAAGTGCACTAACACCTACACAGTATATATCCTACTTTTCACCCACTTCTGTGGGTGGGCCTAAAATGCTTTTGTTGCAATAATTCAAGGCCCCGTTTTAGTAGTTCTAATTAGCTACTGTGTGATTCTACTGTCCAATTAGTGTAAGTGTTTGGTTTGATCACTGAGTTGTTTTAGCATAGTGTTCTGATTTATACGCAATCATTAAAGGGGCAGTACGTACATTATACATCTCTTAGTAATTTAAGTGTTATGTACTTCATGTTATAATACTTAAAAGATTTGTATATCCTGGGCCTTAAAATATGGTAGTACAGTAATTACAGTTACTGTACACTTAGACACACACAGGTACAGGCTGAATTTTATGCTTCTGTTTTTCTATCTCTTGGGATCTGCTGAGAGTTAGTCTGAGTCTTGGTTTGTCAATGTGTGATTCAATTTTAAGGTTCCCAAAATGTGCATTGGCCTTCAAATCCCTAACAGATGGACTGAGTGCCAAAAAAGGAGTGTGTCAAGGGGTTAGAGGCTTTGTGGCTCTTGTTTGGTGTGCCAGCGTGTGAACGTGTGACTGAAAAAACTGTGATTGAATGAGCAAGTCTTCAGAGCCTCCTCTCTCAGGGAGTCTCACTGAAGGGGCATGAGTGAGGCAGAGCCCGGGCAGACGGTTGGATGTGTTGGTGGTGGGTCATCACACGTCACTGTATATCTATAGCATACAGTATGACTAGAAAATACAGGTACATAGGAGAGGCAAAGTTGCATGAAGGCTGTAATTATAGATTCATTTTCTGTGCTCTGATGCACATAGTAATTAGATATTGGCTAATTAGCTACCAATCATACTCCACAGAATTGTGAGCAGTCGAGGAAACAAAACTCAGTGGGATCTTAACACTGATCACGCCACGTGGGGGGTAAGAAGGCTTAAGGGAAGCTATATGAACCACATAGTTAGACGTGTTACCCATAACTGATCTCTAGCTGATCACAGTGTTTATGCTTACTCTGGAGTGTACTAAAGGTCACTTAATGTTGTGTGCTATACTGTGGCTTAAAAGACAGCTGCAAGCAAACCGTGTTGCACTCAGAAGTCATTCAGGTATACCCACACTGCAGTTATTAAAAGATTACATTAGGGATCACACCATTCTGTATGATTAATTAACCTTGACTGATGATTTGCAAAGATGAATCCAGCTGAGCCAGTATGCCCCAGGTCTGCACGGACACACGCATACTGTACTGTATATATGAGATGGTTGAGAGCATTATTGCAGCTGGTCTTCATAATACTGGCTCAGGTTTACTGTAGTGAAACAAAGTCTTGTTTTCTCCAGTATGGAACCAGTCCTGTCCTACTCCCTGGTGTGTAAGGCTAATCCCTGTCCAAACACACAGTTTGCTTTTTTCCTGCATCTCTTTTACCACTTTGCATAGTATGCTTTGGGTGCAGACCAGTGTTTGACAGAATCACCCTCCCAGCCACCAGGTCAAATCAGCATATGCATACTGTACAGTGTGTGGTTCAAAGGGGAGCTGACTCAGGAAGGGGCTGGGTTGCTTGGCTTCAGTCCCAAGCTTCCCATGGCGAGCAGCACAATGCTGTCATAACCTGCCAGACAGCCCATGAATAAAACATAACTATTGTATTTGTGCTTAAAGATGTCTTTTCATTTCCAGTTTGAATCATGAGGTACTGTAGATCTATTGAAATTTATGGTACAGCAAATGATTAATAATCATTTCTGTGTGCTGCTTTTATAACACTGGCACATGCGCAAGCACAGCTGCAATTATGCTGTACATTAGCACACAAACTCAAACCAGAACTGAGGTCCATCAAGATGTTCCAAAGAAGTAGTTTCAGTAGTTTTTTTTATTTATATGTGCTGATACAAGGTTGATCTGACCTGTGATGATGTAAACACTCACAGAAAATCATCCCCTTTGGATCTAGACAGCTGTCAAAGCAATGAAAGTGAGAAAAAAAACAAATGACATCAATCCTCAGTATAAACAGAAAATAGCAACAAAACCCTGGTTTTTTACCTCAGTTTACAAATGTCTAAGTGATACAGGATAAGTTATCTGTTCCATAGAAAAATCACAGAGAGCTCTGTAAATGGTGCTATATGTAGAAGCCTACATGGCACAAAGTCAGACTATTGTTTCTACCGACACCTACATCCTGCTATGTAAAACCACAAGCACCCAGTAATATAGTCCCTTAAAGTGAATCACTCTGGGGATGTCCAATACTGACCAGCTCATTAATACAGCCCCTAGCTGATACTCAGAAGATTCATTTCACACCATGTATAGCCGGCTATTCTACATCTGATCACAGACACAAACTGTAGTGGAGTTGGTTTTTCCACAGAGACAGTGCAGCCAGTAGAGGAGAAGGAAGGGGCTAAACTCACGCCTACAAATAAGAGATTCTGCCTGCTCCTGCTGTATGTGGACAGATGTTATTATGTCAGCAGATGATATCATTCTCCACTTCAGTGTATAAAACAAACTAATCACAGAGAAAGTATTATATATATATACTGTATATAAATCTCAGTGTGAACGGATATGTTTTGGTTTTAGACCTTGGAGAGTGTATGTAGAATGGGCCTCATATTTTTAGCATGGAGAGCCCCATCCTACTCTCTGGTCTCACCCTGTTTATCAAACATGGCCGCCAGTCTGAACTGCTGGCACTACTCCTCCATATATAACCAAAACAAAAGACAAAAAACACCATCCCGGGTTTATGCCATACCCCTACGTGTTCTAAGTACTGTAGTAGAGAGGTAACAGGAGATCAGTAACAAAATAGTACTCCTTTATTATTGTTTACATTTGCTTTTTAAAAATATCTATGAGAAAATCGTGCTGTATTTGTTAGCAAAATGTAATTGACTGATCTGGCAATAGATTAATTTTCTTTTTTTCTGAAAGAAGCATTCATTAGACCAAACGTTCTTTCTCTAAAGGCAGATGAACTTGAGATCTGACAAGCCAGCTTGATCAGTTTAAACCATAAAGTGATAACCTCTGGACTGCAAATGACCAACAGAGAGCAAACCGAAACAAAGCATGACACTCGTCCCCTTATCTCAAGATCCAGCCCTGCACAGCCTCACTGCAGTTGCCTGAACCAGCCACCCTCACCCTCTTACTGCCTATGGCTATGAATTTGTGACATTTGTTGACCCTGCCATGTCCCCTCTTGGCCAGTCTTTGTAGATACAGTATAATGACTCTATGCTCCTTTGCCGCAACACACACACACACACACACAGTTTATGTTTCGTAGTCCATGGGGACTTTACATTGACTTACATGCATTTCCTGTAGACTAACCCTAACCTTAACCTAACCCTAACCTCATCCTAACCCTAAACCATGTTGTCACCCTAAAATTCAATTTCCTGCCCATGGGGACCTCAATTTAGGTCCCCATCGTGAAATGGGTCCTGATGAGTTGGTATGGAGTCAGGAAGAAGTCCCCACATAGCAGGAAAAACACGTCCACACACACACACACAAGTGCCTTCCTGTTGTGACATGGGCCACACAAATCACTGGAAATAGCAATTAAAAAAAGAAAAGCTGCGTGTGAAAGAGTCAACTGCAGGTGAACTTACGGCAGGCTTGCTGGGACCTCTGCTGTCTAATGATAGACTGAACAATGCCACAGCTCACTATTCACTGACACTAAGCTGCAGGGGTGAGACAGTACTGCATCAAAGATATGTTAAACCTTTTAAACAACTTCCAACTTAACAGCTGTTGCATGCAGACATTAGGCTTGCCAGTAGCATGGAATGGGAATTATACTAAAACATTTGCAGAGACAGAAAGACAGTGGGAAAGAGACTGACTGTGAGTTCACTGCAGTAAATTAGCACTCACGGTGTTATTATTGTAATCAGAGGTTTGGAGGGCTTTGAATGGTTGAGAAACTCCCATTGTGTAAGACTCCGTCCAACAGCGTGGGCCACAGACATTCTACTGTATAATCACTACCATTTACCATAGTACAGTGCACCTCTGTTTATTGAGATATTAATCTGGGATAAACAAAGCTTTTGACAAAACAAATTAAGACTCTCAAAGAAGTGCTGCACTAATGGAGTCCACTGAGATTGATATTAAAATGTGGATGGGATGGGGGAGAGGGAAGAAAAGAAAAGAAGCTGGGAGGTGCTGGAAAAAGAGAAGCAGGCCCAAGGTGACGCACATTCATCCTCTCACGAGGAGTGTCTGTCTAAACAGCGTTTCTCCCTGGGGTGGGTCCCAGCTGAGCACTAGAGATCAGCATCAGCACATTAAGTCAAATGCAGTGAGGGAGGGATGGAGCTAATGATGATGGTGATGACAATGATGAGGATAAAGATGATGATGGTCATTTTGTGTTTCCCATTAACACCTCCACCCTGGAGTGATTTGTT